AAAAAAAAAAAAAAAAAAAAAGACACATAGATCAATAGAACAGAATTGAAAATCCAGAAATAAACCCTTGATTATATGGTCAATTAATCTATGACAAAGGAGGCAAGAACATGCAATGGGAAAAAGATAATCTCTTAGGCAAATGGTGTTGGGAAAACTGGACATTTACATGCAAAAGAATGAAACTAGACCACGTTCTTACTCTATACACAAAAATAAACTCAAAATATATTTAAGGCATAAATGTGAGACCTAAAACCATAAAATTCCTAGAAGAAAACATACACAGTAATCTCTCTGATATCAGCTATAGAAACATTTTTCTAGCTATGTCTCCTTTGAAAAGGGAAACCAAAGTAAAAATAAACTATTGGACCACACCAAAATAAAAACTTCCTTTTGATGAAGGAAACCATCATCAAAACAAAAAGACAACCCACTGAATGGGAGAAGATAGTTGCAAATTATATATCCAATAAGGGGTAAATATCCAAAATATAGAAAGAACTAATAGAACTCAGCACCAAAAAAACACAAATAATCCAGTTAAACGTGGGCAGAAGACACGAACAGACATTTTTCCAAAGGAGACATATAGATGGCCAACAACACATGAAAACATGCTCAACATCACTTGTCATCAGGGAAATGCAAATCAAAACCATAATGAGGTATCACCTCACGCCTATCGGAATGGCTAAAATCAAAACCAAGAAACAGCAAGTGTTGGTGAGGATGTGAAGAAAAAGGAACCCTCATACTCTGATGATAGGAATGCAAACAGGTGTAGCCACTGTGGAAAATAGCATGGAGGTTCATAAAAAAATTAAGAATAAAATTGCCATATGATCTAGTATTTACCCAAAGAAAATGAAAATACTAGTTCGAAAAGATATATGCTCCCCTATGTTCATCAAGCATTATTTACAATAGCCAAAATATGGAAGCAACCCAAGTATCCATTGACTGATGAATGGACAAAGAAGATGTGGTCTATATATACAATGGAATATTACTCAGCCATAAAAATAAGAATGAACTCTTGTCATTTGCAACAACATGGATGGATCTAGAGAGTATAATGTTTAGTGAAATAAGTCAGTGAGAGAAAGACAAATACCATGTGGTTTCATTCATATGTGGAATTTAAGAAACAAATGAATGAAGGAAAAAAAGAGATAAACCAAAAAGCAGACTCATAACTATAGAGAACAAACTGAGTTACCAGAACAAACTATAGTTACCAGAAGGGAGGTGGGGTGGTGGTGGTGGAGGATTGTGAAATAAGGTCAAGAGGACAAAGAGTAGTGAGTATTGTATAGAATTCTTGAATCACTATATTGTACATCTGAAACTAATGTAACACTCTATGTTAATTGTACTAGAATCAAAAAAATAAATAATCTAAAAATTATTTTAATCATGTTTTGTTTATTTCAGTCATTATAATACAGACTATTTTATGTTTAAAAAACAAACAAACAAACAACCCACAGGGGCACCTGGCTGGCTCAGTCAGAAGAGCATGCAGCTCTTGATCTTGGGGTCATGAGTTTGAGCCCCACGTTGGGTGCAGAGATTTTTTTTTAAA